TGAGCCCAGGAGTTTGAGGTTGCTGTGAGCTAGGCTGACGCCATGGCACTCACTCTACTCAGGGCAACAGAGTGAGACTCTGTCTCAAAACAAAAAAAAAAACAAGTCTCTACATTAGTTTTCAAGTATAAGGTTTAAGTAATTTGTTTTAATAATCAGAAAATGCTGTACAGTATTGTAATAATCATTCTATTATGCGCTATTTTTCAATAGTACAATTTCTTTCTGTATTTTAATTGAGACAGTATATTTCCTCAAACTTGGTTATTGGGTTTTATCCTGAATAGTAATTCAGAAATTGGCTCTTGGTTCAGTGATTCTCAAGAGAGAGATCTCTTGCCCATAAGGAAGGGTATCAAAATCTCATAAGGAATGGGGGGAGAGTTGTAGAGTTTGAGAAAGCATATTTATTCTCATTTATATTTGGGAAGGCAAAAATAAATCTGTTGTCTTACAATACAAATTATAAATAGGCAAATCTTGATAAAATGTATAGTTGGCAATGCCACCTCTTCAGTGTTAGAGAAGAAGAGACCCCTTGAGGGTACAGATCCAGAGTCCCCTCAGGAGCAAGGGGGACGGCAGAGGAGTTTTAATGTATTCTGGACAGGGGGCATGGGTTAGAGAAGAAAAATGTCCCAGAGCTCATGCAGTTGCTTAAAATAATCATTGCTGTTAAGTGGGAAGCATTTTAGTACTTTAATGAAAGGATAATGTTTATTAAGAAAACTTGACATTTTCAAAGTAATTTTGCTTTGCACACTCATGTTTATTGAATTGGATTAATTTCCACAATGCAAGTCATAGTTAAATATTCAAAATTGCATAAATACAATTGAGATAGGAATTACATTAAAATATTAGGAAAAAATACGGACAAATTTAGACCTTGGATCCAAAGAGATAAAGTCTACTTGACTTTCAAATAGGGAGATGATGAAAACCCACTGATTCAGTCTTTCAGAACAAAAAGATAGTAATCTGATAAGAAAAGTAGGGGTGGATGAAATGCCCTACAGGGGCCTTAGACAGCTTTAATTTCGGTGATTATGTGAAAGAGGTGGGATTTACAGATAATGAAGTGGAAGCTGACGCTAGTAGAAAGAATCCCAACTTCTTCCTGTGGAATTATAAACACGCAAAAGTACAATAAACCTCGTGTTCAAATTAGCAGCATCACAGAGCCTGCCACATACATCTGGACCTTGAATTTGTGTTTAGTATTGATAAAACCTTTAATTTTGTGTACATATTTTGTGCATGTTCACAAAGAACAGTTAAAATTAATTATGTATTATATTCTGTCCTTAAATATGAAATGTCCAATTTCGAGTCAAAAGTGTGGTTTATAATATCTCAAACAAGAAGCAGTACAATTAATCAAAATATGCGCCTAAACCATTGACATAGTTTTGCCACCTTAAGGGTCGCTTGTTTATGCCAGCAGCGAAGAAACCTGGAGAGCCAGTGGCGATGAAATCATGAAAGGCGTTTTCCACAGCTTGTTGAGAATTAAGTATCTTTCCTTGCAAGAAGTGGTCCAAAGCCTGGAAGAAGTGGTAGTCAGTTGGTGCAAGGTCTGGTGAACACAGTGGATGACAGAGAGTTTCCAAGTCCAGCTTCCGTAGTTTGAGCAGCATTGTTTGTGCGACATATGGTCGAGCATTGTCTGCAAGAGGATCGGCCTGTCTTTGTTGACCAATTTCGGCTGTTTAATCAGAAGCATCCTCATCATTCCATCCAGTTGGTTGCCGTAGACATCAGCTGTATCAAATGACCAGGTTTCATGAAGCTGTAGTGGATAATACCAGTGCTGGACCACCAAACAGACACCATTAGCTTTTTTTGATGAATATTCAGTTTTGGGCTGTGTTTTGGCACTTCATCTTTATCCAACCATTGTGCCGAACGCTTGCGATTATCAAAAAGAATCCATTTAAGAATCCATTTTTCATCACATGTAACAATACAGTGTAGAAATAGTTCACCTTTATGTTGTGACAGCAAAGAAAGGCAAGTTTCAGGGCAATTTCTGTGCTGATGCTCGTTTAATTCATGCGGAACCCATCTATCCAGCTTCTTTACCTTGCTGATTTGTTTCAAATGGTCCAATATTGTTGGAATAGTAACATCAAACCTTGCTGCTAATTCACAAGTAGGTTGAGATGGATTTGCTTCCACTATAGCTTTCAGCTCATCATTATCTGCCTTGGTCTCAGGTCACCCACGTGGTTCATTTCATGATTAAACTCACCAGAATGGAACTTCTCAAACCATCCACGTGTTGTGCATTCATTAGCCACATCCTTCCCAAACACTGTTGATATTTGGAGATGCCTGTGCTGCACTGGTTCCATGATGGAACTCATATTCGAAAATAACATGAATTTTTGACTTATCTGTGGTTTCACAAAAGTTGCTCTTAAAAAAATGTGAAACATAATCACAAGTCAAAACATGTGTTTGAAAGACTGAGGATGTACCTTTACAATAAAAATAAAACAAGTGTCAAAGAGAAACAAATGTCAGAGATATCAGCTGTCAAACTTAAGACTTAAGGAAATCAGACATTTCATACTTAATAGTTAATACATACACCCACCTTCTTCTGTTAGTGAATCAGTGAATGGTAAAATGTGTTATTTTACCAAAGAGGATGTTGTAGATTTTCCTTGCAGTTCTGTCATTATTACTTTTCTTCTGGTACTCATGACTTTGGACTCTTCAACACTATCTTGAGTTTGAGTCTGGTGGAGAACTAGCGCTTTGCCTCCCGAAGCCTGTTATCATTTTTGTTACTTTGAGGATTGGGCTGTCCTGGGGCTCAGAAAGGAGAGAACTGTTTAAGCAGACTTGTGTGGGCAGAGCTAGACTCCACCCACCTGCCAAGTCAGTATTGTTAGAGATTTCATTTTACAACACAAAAATGAATGAACATCAAAGATTTTAGAACCATGGAAAGTTAAACCTAGAAAGACCTTAGTGAACCATCCAGCCAACTGTTTTGTGTTAAAAGTGAAAGATTTGGCTGGGCGCGGTGGCTCACGCCTGTAATCCTAGCTCTCTGGGAGGCCAAGGCGGGCGGATTGTTTGAGCTCAGGAGTTCGAAACCAGCCTGAGCAAGAGCAAGACCCTGTCTCTACTAAAATTAGAAAGAAATTAATTGGACAACTAAAAATATATAGAAAAAAAATTAGCCGGGCATGGTGGCGCATGCCTGTAGTCCCAGCTACTTGGGAGGCTGAGGCAGGAGGATGGCTTGAGCCCAGGAGTTTGAGGTTGCTGTGAGCTAGGCTGACGCCATGGCACTCTAGCCCAGGCAACACAATGAGACTGTCTCAAAAAAAAAAGTGAAAGATTTCATAGCCTAGATGACTTGCCCAAGATCATCCATCCAGGGACAAAGACAAGAACCCAAATGTACTACTTCCCGATTCAGCGTTCTTCCTGTTATTAAACATGGTTTCTGCTCAACACATTTTTAATTTCATCCTCATATTTCATGACTCTGGCTGATTTATTTTGTGTTTAACTGATAAAGAGTTAACATTTCGGAAATGTTATAATTGACCGGTGTTATTGCTGACACGTATGAATCACTTGCCAAAGATCCTGGCATTTAGTGGCTCTCCTAGGCTATAGCTGGTATGTCAAATGTGAAGATTATTGTGAGATCATTTGGTTTCATTATTCTGACGTATTTTATAAATGCACTATCCTTGCCGATGTATTTTTGCTGATCTTTCATAAAGTGGAAGTTTTGTTTTAATGGTATATATTAGACTGTATTCAGTGTTATAAAACCAATATTCTATGGAGAATGAAAAAATAAAGCACTAAATTAACTGGAGATTTGTGCTACTCTTAAAAAACAAAATTGTTTGTTACACATACAGATGAAGTAAGAAAAAATGTAATCTTCCTGCAAGATAGATACACCTTTGTTTACCAAGCTAATAGCTTGCCTCTTATGTAAGCCAATTTTGTTTTCAGAGAAGAGGTCTTACAATGTAGACCAAGCTTAAATTCATGATGCTAAAGAAATTTTGCCAGAGGACCCTTTTTTTCTAATGGCAAAATAAGCAGCTCTTCAGTAGAGAGGTCATCTCTTTTGAGCACATCCTCACTGCACAGATATCTGGCTGATATTTATGCCTGTACTTTATAGTATTACTTTTGGAAATTTTATATTATTGCACTTTTTACTCAGTGATCCACTGTAGTCTAAAGCCATAGGAGATTTCAGCTTGTCTGTTGCCCATTATTTGCTACATTATTTTAGAAATCTAGATATCGGTCCCCTTTTTTTTCTTTGTCATTCAGCAACATGTACTGAGTGGTTGCCACGTCCAAGGTGCTATGGGCTCTGAGCCACCATGCAAAGATGAATAAAAACAGCTCATTTATATGTGAGCCTATCTCAGGTGTCTTTTGTCTGTTCTCATTAGTGTATCCTCACAAAAAGATTGAGTAGAAAACTACCAAGGTCGCTCCTATGCAGAAGTATTTCTTTAGGTCCATTAGGATGGTAACAATGAGCACTAACATCTCTTGAGCTCTTACCATGTGCTCGCCATTATCCTACACTCGTGGCACATAGTAACTCACAGCAGCCCTACGAGGCAGGTGCTCTTGTCTTCCCTCTTTGCAGGCAAGGAGACTGAGGCAGAGAGGTTGGATAAGATGCTTATTGGTAGATGGCAGAAATGAGACTCAAACGTCAAACGCTGGCGGTCTGGCTGATGAAGGCCCTCCCAGATTCATTCCTTTAGGTCTTTAAGGCTTGTTTATCTTCAGGAGCCTTCCAGTAAAATGCCACCACCAACTAGCCCTTAATTAGTTAATAATTCTTCATGGGTGAGTTTCAGATCTTTTCAAGCAGAGAAAGGAGCTGAGAACAGGGCCTGCGAGACAAATGATGAATAGGTGTGGTGGCAGCGGTGGCAGCATGTGTGTTTTGGGAGAGAGGGAAGGTGGACAGAGCAATAGAGGGACGAGGAAAGTCCTGAAAAGGGAACTGAGGAGATACCCCCCCAAATTTCATCCCTTTAGAGTTTCACCTGGGGCTGCTGTGTGCTGTGTTTGACTCGATCTGAAAAAACAAATTTTTTTAAAGAAAATCATAGCTAAAGGCTACCTTAAAGTGGGGAGGGCAAAAAATCATGACAGAAATCTGAGGGATGACTACAGGGTGTTTGATTTGCAATTATTTGTACAGGTAGCTCACAAAGATCTAACTTTATAATTTTTCTTTAAAGAACTGCTAAGTGGAAAACAAAATAAGATGGGAATATAGCCAAACATAGTAGCATTTGTAATTGCAAATGTGTTAAACTCACCTGTTAAAAAAATCAAAGATGTCCAGATGGGGCAAAAGAAAAATTTTAAATCCCAGCTACATAAACCTGGAAACACCTGAAACAAAACAGCATGGGGTGGGGGGATGGTTGAAATAAAGAGATGGAAAAAGACTATACAAATGCTACCAAAAGGGAAAGCCTGAGTAGCGATGTCAATATCTAACAAAACTGAATTTAAGGCAAAAATAATTTTAAAGGATATCTCATAAAAAGGAAGAGTTTGCCAAGAAGGTCCAATAGTCATGAACTTTATGTCCCTAACAATATAACTGGGAACTATATAGAGCAAAACAAATAGAAATACAATGAAAAAAATTGACAAAGCCATAATCATAGGTGCTGACTTAGAAATCAACAAGTCAAGTAGAAGGTAAAAACAGACCTAGAGGATTTGGATAGAGTAATTAACAGGCTTGATATATAGAGAGCTTTTTTGTTTCTCTTCAAATGCAAATGAATGGTCATTAGAATTTTGTCTCAAAAGAAATATCGACAAATTCTAAAAAGACTAAATTTTCTAGGCAGCATTCACTATACACAATGATAAGTAAATAAATGACAAAAAGGTAGGATATAAAAAAGCTAACCGTAACTTTAACCTGGATTAATTAAATAAAAGCATAAATTACAAATTGTCTGCAAGGATATGACAAGCCCAGCTATCCTCGCTGTCTGGTTCAGTGCTTCTGGGAGGTGTACAAGAAAGCATGTCTGGGACTCCAGGGCAGCACCGTTTGTGGTGGTGAAAAATTCGAAATGGCTACGTAGGAAAATTAATACACACGACAGCAGTTTAAAAGAATAAGGTAGATCCATGTATGGAGATGAAATCGTCCGCAAGGCATATTGCTTACGGAGATAATAACCACACGGTATTTGTGCAGAACAGTAAAAAGCTACATATATTTCTTTTAAGTACAAACAGGTCTAAAAATTCTTAGAAGAAATTTGGAAAGTATAGCCGCTACACCAATAACTACATTTCACTTTGGGGAACTGTGCTGGGCCTGGGGGTGGAGAAGAGGTTGTGGGGGTCACTGGCATCCTCTGTGCTCTTTGAGTTTTTATATTGGGAAAGTATTCTTATATTGC